GAGGGGAAAAAAAGAAAAAGAAAAAGAAAATAATAATTAGTAATGCGGAGCAACAATAATTAAAGGCGGAGGGGAATGCATGACCAACAGTGAGCAACTCAACAAGGAGAAGAAGGACGCGCATGCACCTAGAAAGAATCAATCCTTGGATCTCAACACAGACACTGTTCACGCGTATCTTTCCATTCCTCCAAATGGAGAAGTTGGTTTTTTCTTTCTCCAAAATCCTTAAGAAATATGGAGAATGGAGATAGAGTAAGAATTTGGAAGAATGATTTTAGTAAACAAGTTTTCCAATTTTCATTTTTTCACTTCTTCAATTCTCCATTTTTCTGGAAAATCCTCCATTTTTGCAAGTTAGTAAACGACCCCTTATTCTCTGTAAATCAGACCAGAGGCACGGCAAAAAAAAAAAAAAAAAAACAGAAGCGATCGCAGAGCCGGAGACGCCGCCACCCTCAGCCGGAACTCCACGCCGCGGTCCTCTGCCGGGACGCCGATCGCACAGAACCGCCATTACCATCGCCATTGCCTAGCAGCGCCGGCCAATCGCGAGCTGCCTTCTGCTGCTGTCGCGTGACCACTGTCGCCGCTGCGCCTACCGTCCTCCGCCGGCGATGTTACAATCTTCTCCGCCAAAGCTACGACCATCCGCGACGCAGATCGACGGCGTTAGATAGGCCAAAACAGGTTTGTTGTTTTTTTTTTTTTTTTGAAAAAAACATAGAATACGAGAATATAGGCGGTGGCGGAGCTGGCTGATTAATTGTTTTGTGTATTGAAGGCGAACAGATTTTGTTCATCATTTGATTTGAAAAATAAAAATTCGAAAATAATGATAAATGTGTCGATTTTTTTAATACGATCTGGGAAAAGATTCGACAATTGTCGTCAAGGCCAGAGAGTCAACAGCTGATCTATAGCTTTCTCAAAATAAACTTGTATTTTTCGAAAAAAAAATTGTGTACGTTTCAAATTTTCTTAGACCCAATAATGTCAGAATGTGTAAATTATGCACTGATATATAACAGCATATACCAACATTCAAAATTTACCAATGAGCAGATACCAAAATTTTACCAATACAAATTGCATTTATATTTTTAAGAACAGTATAGCATTTGTATTCCATATCAACAGGATTTCATAATGCAAATAGGCAATGTATTAGAACTTTTAACAAATATGAATGTTAATTTAGAAAATAAGCATACCTTTCACTGAAAGAGCAGCATGCTGATAACGTGTTGTATAGTGAGATGCCCGTGGCCATTAGCTCCTAACCGATGAATTGATTAACATTGCAAGTAAGGTGTAAAGAGAGAAGGGAGAATGATAGACAATAGTATAGGGGGTAATCTCCATTTCCTTAGCTACCAAACAATACAACATATGTAAGTATATATACAATACAAGTATAACGGATACAATAATGGTATGCTTAATTACCGGACCGTTACGTCCGTTACATAATAATGTCCACTAAGTATATATATTTATAACAATCTTAAATTTTTTTTTTAGTATTTGTTGATTTATTTTGAATTTTAGTAGTGTTATCTATTGAATATTATTTTTTATTCATTTATTGTGTTAGTGTTAAGGTGAAAGAACAATATTAGTGTTATTTTATATTTATTTTTTTAATTTATTTTGAATTATTATTAATTACTTTGTCATTGAAATGGAAATTTGAGGAATCTTTGTGATTTGGTTCTAGTTTGAAAATAATCTTTTTGGATAGATCGGTAACGTATATTTTAGATAATTTATTTAAATTGAGTTAATAATAGTTTAGAGAAAAAAAAACATCGATAATAATAATAAATAAAAGAATTTAAAATTATATGAAATGTGGAGATACATAGACTGATTAGCATCAAGATCAGATTTCTATCTTAGGAAGTAGCACCCTTTCTCTGCAAAAGTCAGCCCCATCAAATAAAATAAAATAATAAGTAAATAACCCCTTAGTCATTATATTAAGTAATTTCATATATTTTAAGTAAATTATTATAATGAGATTAGAGTTGATAAAAATGAGATTACATGTGTAAATCAGAGTGGCCTGGGTTCAAGAAAGAAGACAAGATGTTGAACAAGAGTTGTGGGAATTTGAGAAACGACAGTCTCATTATTACAGGACAATACACCAAAGACTTGTCTTTTCATTTATTTTATTTTATTTTTGTTTTTCTCAACAGTTATAAGGTAAAAAATCGAAATAGTATAATTAATAATGTGAAGATTCTCTATCTTTTTTTTGTAAATATTTGAACAAGCAACTTACTCCATAAACGAAATATGACTGCGTGTAACTTTATATGACTGCATGTAACGAAATATAACTTTATATTTGTAGATATTTGAACAGGCAACCTACTGTAGATGAAATCTGAGAGTTGTGGGCACAATACTTTGTATATGACTGTGTGTAACTTTATTTGGTTTAAACATTATCATTATGTTTTGTTAAAGAATTGTATCTTGATTTCAATTATAAATGTGTTGATTGTTATTATTGTGTTGATAGTATAATTATATTGTGTTGATTATTAATTGTGAAGTATATATAGTTATGATTGTGATCATAGTTTATTAGTGTTGGTTTGAATTTGTTGTTGAATAGATATGTTTAATTAGTTGTTATTAGTTTTGTAAATTTTTGTGTGAATTTGAAAAATTCTGTACAGGTTTTATTTTGAACAAATAAAATCAGGTAAATATTGTAATTTTAAATAAAATTTAAAAAAATATATATAAGTATGGGTGTCGCAAATACAATTAATTAAAAAATAAATAAATACTTTCCGCGACACCCACCTGTCCGTGGGTGTCGCGAAAAGTATTTAATAATAAATTATTAATTGACGAGGCACCTGTCACGCAGCAGGTGCCTCGGAAAGTCTCTATTTAAAAAATAAAAAATGCTTATTTAGCTTTCCGCGACACCCTATACAGGTGCCTCGGAAAGCTAAACACTTTCAGGGTAGCTCAAGTGGCAAATGAGCTCTCTTTGTGGGGGAGAATTCTGGGATAACTCGGGTTCAATTCCCACAAGTGACAATTCCCTTTGGGCCAGCTTCTGTGCCTCTCAGAGCGAAGTTAATTGGAACTCATAATCCTCTCATATTATAATTCCAATCAACAACTATATAGTACAAGGATTTTTGTTTAGAGCATAATCCCAAACACGAAAGAAGGAGATGAAGAAAGAGGGTAAATACGAGTCGAGCGAAACACTCTTTTTCCTTAAAATCTTATTTGTCACCTCCCAAAAGTGCTAGGAGTGTTGTGGCCTAGGTTTCCCAGGATAAAACGTACTACAGCTCGACGTTTGAGCACCAAAACGAACGAATCCGGCGAACAAGAGTACGGGCAGAACCACAGTTTCAAGGAGTAGGAGCAGAGTTTTGGAGAAGAAATTGTGCTTTCTGTCGTGTGTAGTGTTTCTGTTCTCTATCTTTTCACCACTTGAAAAACCTGTTGCTCCTACACTAGCTTATATAGGAGATGGAGTACTTAATAACATTCATGATGGCATTCAATACACGTTTTGTAACATTTGAAACAGCCACCATTATTTTAGATTTAATTCAAAATTAAAAAATTTGGAATTTCCAACAGTCCAATACATACTCTTCTGCTACCTCTCTTTTTGGCCAAGGGAAAGCTCACATTGGGATTCAATTCGCACCCTACTGCACACGGGAGAGAGCCTCTATGCTATATGATTCAATAAGCCTTAGAAAGACTCTTGTATAAATAGTAGTACAAATCCTCTTCCCAAACTAATGTGGGACAAAAACTCATCTTTTTCCCTTCATTTTTCCAATTCAATGGGTCTACTTTGAGAATCAATATCCCATTCACCCATTATCCCTTTTTGAGCGTACAATATATCAATCACCTTGTCTCACTACGAAGAACTCGAATCAACTTTGACACGACCCAAATCGGAAATGGACCCCACTGATAATTGTACCACAACATAGTCACTTAAAATGTCATTTGAATGCTATTTTTCGAACAATAAATTTACAAGAATATATGAATGAACAAAGAAATTCTAATGTGAATAGAATGTATACTCTTGATGACAATAACAACAAGAGTAATACTACATGTACTCTCACTTTTTACTGCACTTTGTACTCCCTGTTGAAATGTCATTATTTGATTAGTTTAAATAACAAAGTGAGTCACTATTCTTTTTCATTCACTTAAATTTATTAGTACACGTAGCTCGGAGTTTATACTCCATGAAAGTACATATATTATTTTGCTAACAACAATAAGGACATCAACTAATGTCTCACAAGAAAGTCCACTCTTCAAAAAAGATATATCCACCGAATAGTTATGCTGTGCATCTGTATGCACCATGCATGGTACATACAGATGCAAAACGACGTCGTTTTATTAAAAACGCGCGTCTCCCCTTTAAAAAAAAATTCAGGTTCGATTCCTAGTAACAACATTATTTTGTTCATTGATTATGGAATTTTAGTTCATGGATTATGGAATTATAGTTCATCGATTATGGAATTATAGTTCATCGATTCTGGAATTATAGCTAATCGATTCTGAAATTTTAGTTCATAGATTCTGGAATTTTAGTTCATTCATTCTGAAAATTTTAGTTCATAGATTAGATTATGGAATTATAGTTCATCAATTATGGAATTATAGTTGATCGATTATGGAATTATAGTTCATCGATTATGGAATTATAGTTTCGAACCTAATTTTTTTTTTTTAAGGGGAGACGCGCGTTTTATAAAAACGACGTTGTTTTTGCATCCGTATGCACCATGGATACACAGCATAATTTGCCATATCCACCCACGTAAGTGTCGCACCAAGGATAATTGTGGTGTCGAGAAGAGCACACGTCTGTCATATCAATCTCGCGTCTCTTCCAATTTCAAAATAGAGACTTATACACGTTTTTAAAAAATTTGAACATTCAAATCTCTATAACCTTTAAAATATTATTACCACTAGCTTCTGTGTAATCCATGTTGTCGGAACTCCCAATTAACATGAATCTCTCCATGTACTATTACCTCTTCTTCCCTTTGTTCATCTCCATCCTCTTCCTCTTCAGATTGCTCTTTTCACTTCCCAGAGTTATTAGGAAAAACTTACCCCCATCCCCACCAAAGCTTCCACTCTTGGGAAACATCCTCCACCTTGGCTCCCTCCCTCACCGCTCCCTCCAACAACTATCCACCCACTATGGTCCCCTCATGCTCCTTCACTTTGGCTCCGTGCCGGTCCTCGTCGCCTCCTCGCCCGACGCGGCCAGAGCGATCATGAAGGACCACGACTTGGCCTTCTCGGACCGCCCCGCCAACAGCATGGCCAGCCGGCTCCTCTACGGCTACAAAGACGTCGCCTTTGCCCCCTACGGCGAGTACTGGCGACAAGTGCGAAGCATTTGTGTGCTCCATCTCCTTAGCAACACGAGGGTGCAGTCGTTTCGCAGCATAAGAGAAGAGGAAACGAGATTGATGGTGGCAAAGATCAGACAATTATCAGCGCGTGGTTCTTTGATAAATTTGAGTGATGTTTTCATTGAGTTGACGAATGATATAGTTTGTAGAGTGGCTTTGGGGAGGAAGTATAGTAAGGAGGGGGGAAATGGGGAAAAGGATTTCAAGTTGTTGCTAGGGGAGTTTCTTGAATTGTTGGGGACATTTGATGTAGGGGAGTATATCCCATGGCTTGCATGGGTGAATAGAGTCAATGGGATTGATAGAAGGGTGGAGAAAGCTGCTAAAGAATTGGATGAGTTCATTGATGGTGTGGTGGAAGAGCACGTAGGTTTGAAGAAAGAAGAGGGGGATGGTTTTGACTTTGTCGACATTTTGCTTGATATTCAGAGAGAAAACCAGATTGGCTTTCCCATTCACAGAGATTCTGTCAAAGCTCTCGTCTTGGTACGTAATTATTAATTACCCTACAGTCTCATTTTAATTACGGAGTATCTAATTGGATTAGCTAGATATGACTCTCTAAATGAGTAATATAATGCTACTTAGTCCAAAAAAAAAAAGAGTTAATTTGATTTTTATTGCAATGGTATTTGTTTTCTTTGTCTGTTAGGATATGTTTTCAGCTGGAACTCACACAGTGTACACACTTCTTGAGTGGACAATGGCAGAACTGATAAAAAATCCCCAAGTAATGAAGAAATTATCAAGTGAGGTAAGAACATTCAAAACAAGTGATGATTTAGAAATCATGCCGTACTTGAAAGCAGTCATCAAGGAAACCCTACGTCTTCACCCTCCTGTACCATTGCTAGTCCCTCGAAAGGCAATCCAGGACGTGAAAGTGATGGACTTCCATGTGGAAACCGGCACCCAAGTGATTGTCAATAGCTGGGCAATTGGGAGAGATCCAATCGTATGGGAAAATTCTGAAGAGTTTAAGCCAGAGAGATTTTTGGATTCTAATGTAGATTATAAGGGAATGCATTTTGAATTGATTCCATTTGGAGCGGGCCGAAGGGGTTGCCCCGGTGTGGCTTTTACTGCTAATTTAGTTGAGCTTGCACTAGCTACACTCGTGTGCGAGTTTGATTTTGCATCGACAGGAGAAGATTTGGATATGAGTGAAGCAACTGGTTTTACAGCTAACAAGAAAATTCCTCTTACTGTATTTGCTACTACGAGGGTTGACTAGAATATGCATTGCATGGACATATGTATTTGCCCTAGAATAATGCTATTTGGAAATTTTAATTTTCCGCACTTTGCTTTTATCCACGCCTTCAAATGCCAAGTATATATTAAATACTCCGTATTATAATGGTTTGATGTGAAGACATGTATAATGTTAAGCAACGTTTGCGTGTATAAAAAATATAAAATTTTTCTCTAAAGTTAAATAAACTCAAGGCCAAAAACATTCATGTATAAGAAGAATGCCAATTAATTGAAAATTGGGGGGAAAACTTAAGATCAGGGCTTATATATTGGTAAACGTATTGTTGGAGAATGGAAAAATATATTGTTTATTGATTGTGTATACAAAAAAGAAAAATCATAAACATATATATACTAGCTACTCTAACGATAACATAAGGAATAATAGTAATGAAATCCTATGATTGACTAATCATATTACAGAGAATGAGGAAAGAATATTTACAGATGGTATAAAAAAATCTTTACACTTCTCCTCAAGCTCAAATTCTGTGTGTGACCTTGAATGGAATTGTTGTAAAAGTATGTGGGGAAAAGCTCTTCGTGAATATATCGGTCAATTGTTGGTTGGAAGGAATGAAGGTAGTTCAGATTTGACCAACTTGGATTTTTTCTCGTACAAAGTGATAGTCGATCTTAACATGTTCGGTGCGTTCGTGAAATACCGAATTATTGACAATATAATGTGCAGGACGGCTTGGATGTCGCACTGCAAATGAGCCAGGTGTGGGAAGACATCAAGTTCAGATTGTAATAGTTGCAGCCAAGTGATTTCGCTTGCAGCATTAGCTATTGCTCGAAGAGGATAAATGACTACGCCATTTCTCTAGGATATTCCTAATTGAGGAAAAACTCGCACCTCCAACGTGTGTGCATTATGATAGTCAAGCCAAAATTGGTTGAGTACAGAGTTACACGTACAATGGTAAGTCTAGACTTATATGTCGTAGACATAATACCATTTAAATCGTCTTCTCACAACTGGTGTTATCTCTATTGATTACCTGAGGTCATAGGATATGTAGCGGCCGCTAACCTAGGGCTAAGAAAATAGTTGTTAGAGAAGTTGAAAGGAGGAATGAGACTAAATTCTTTGGAATAAAAAGTTCTATAGTGGATACCTAACCTAACTAGCACCTACATAGGTTCAATGGGACAACTAAATTATGGAACGAAGCATGTCAGTGTAGGGGTCTCGGACTCCTAAACACTCATTAGAACAGTATGTACTACACGAGGTTAGCATGTTAGTACTTTACTGATTGAAATGTCGGTTGACCTGTGTGAGTATGTGAGATACTCGGAAAAAATCACCTATGTGAGAGAGAAGTGAGGTCGCTTCAAAGGAGAATTGATGGGCTCAATTCTTTAAAAACTCTTACAGAACCAGAAATGGTGACTCATGACCAAAACGGGTACACCCATGAGAACATAACATAGGTTGGAAGGTTCCTGTGTGGGATATGTAATCATCTACACAAACGACAGTACGGTTCAAAGACATCAAGTTATATCGGACAACTAGTATACTAAACATACTTCACAAGGAAAGGTTCAAAGGGTAACACCTACCTATGCTATGTAGGGATTGACTGTTGAGCACATTCGTGTTGTTTTTCCACTTCCCGAAAATCAATTTTTCATAGTGGAAGATTTCTTTTGTTAAACATTCATTCTTCTCCCTCTTAATTATCTCTTTTTCATTAAAGTTGTTATCAATGTCCATGCGTGACTAATTTCTTTAGTTTGGTTTAGTGAATTGAATCCCCGGAATTGATTATGCTGTGAGATTCTTTATTTATTTTGTTATATAATTTTTTATGCATTTGAGTATTAAATATTTTTCTAAGTTATTTGAATAGTTGTATCATTTAATTGCTAGGGAGGACTACTAGTTATTTATTTGATATAAATATTTGCTATATTAGATAATGTTGTGCTACAAATTATTCTAATATTCAGTAGCAACTGAGGTTAATTATTGATGACTTTAGTGATAATTGGTCTCAGGAAGAATATTTTTCTAAATTAAATGCAACCGCTTGTGCTTCTGTTATTTAGTTTGTCGGTTTTCCTAGTTCCTATTGCTGCTATTAAATTAAATCTATAGAGTTTGTCTTAGATTATTTAGTAGTTAGGGGTAATTAAACCGCGTGTGCTTTAGTTAGCTACAACTAAGGGAAAACGGAATGAAATAATTTCACGAAAAATATTCAATTCCATATTAATTACCTTTTGAATCAATGATCAGTGTTAAATTCCAATGGTGGATATTGACTAACCAAGGTTTTCTATTCTGAGTGCTTTCAATATCTTGCTCTTCATCGTTTTCTCGTTTATTTAAATTTCTCGTTTATTTAATTTCTCTTTTATTTAATCTTTATTCTCATTATATTCCAAACACTCTCCCCCAGCCCCCCCCCCCCCCCCCCCTAGCTTCCTTTAATTTGAGCACATACATTAAACTAAATACTCCTCGTGGGATCAACCCTTACTCCTGCTACTACATTTGTAAGGTTCTAATTTGGGAGCCTACGACAGCTCGCCAGGTACTGCTTGAAGTACTCTTCGGAGTACCGTTCTGGATAATGTTAATTCAGATTCGTAGGAATTAATTCAAATTTTTATTTTCAGAATTCACGATTGCAATAGTTGTTTTAAAGTCCAGATTAAAGTTGCTGTTATGGAGGTTAGGTATATGAATTTATTTCAATAAATTAGTGTCATTGTTAAATGCTATTAAATCTATCCCTCTTCTCCTATAAAAAGCCTTGGTGTTGGGCAGACGGTATCCTGCTAGTTTTAACCTGAAAAATCATTTTTCTCTCTTCCTCTCTCAACCTTTTTTCTTATGAAAATTCTGCCAACATTTTTGAAAATAATCGAAGTGCTCGCCTTTTGTTCTATTTCACCGGACTTTATGTTTGGGTGCTCAAACACTAAAGTCGTAACTTATTTTATTCTAGGAGATTGATGCTACAACACTCCTAGCGTCTTCGGGAGGTAGTGAATTAGTTTAAAGGAAAGTGTGTGTTACGTACGACTCGAATTTCTCTTTCTTCTCCTTTTTTGTTCGTTGGATTTATATAAAATTTTATAAATCTCTTTTTCGTTATGTGTGTGTGTGTGTGTGTGTGTGTGTGTGTATATATATATATATATATATATATATATATATATATATATATATATATATATATAAAATTAGGTTCTGGTGCGGTTAGAGTGCCCAGGTGCGGTTGTGCGGTTAGAGTGCCCATATATATATATATATATATATATATATATATATATATATATATATATATATATGGGATGGTAAATTGACTTAATTACCACCAATAATTATTTTTTGAGTTTATACTCAAAATGGTCCTCGATTATAATGATTTTTTTTTTTTCAATTTCGTCCTAAACAATTTTGATGACCTAATGTAGTCCCAGAATTTTGTGTTTTTGCTCAATTTAGTCCTCCGTTTGTGATTCCGTCCATTTGGTGTTAAATATAGGGACAATTCAGTAATTTCAATATTGACATTTCTTTACTTCTAGATCTACGAAGTGTGAAATCCTTCTTTCTTTTATGAATTACTCCCAGAATTACTCTCAAACCAGCAAATATAAAATTTGATTCACATGACTAGGAGTAATTCTGGGTGAGAGCAAAGTGAGACCAATATTGAGATTACTGAATTGTTCTTTTATTTAACACCAATTTAATAGAATAACAAACGGATGAATAAATTGATCAAAAAACACAAAAGTCTGGGACTACATTAGGTCACCAAATTCATTTAGGAAGAAATTAAGAAAAATCACTATAGTCGAAGACAATTTTGAGTATTAACTCATTATTTTGTTTTTTTATGTCTTTCCACTAATTAAGCATCAAATTATTTCTTTCTTTTTATGCATTTAACTCTCTACCCCTTAATAAAACACCTTGTCTTCAAGGTATAGATATGGATAAACACCTTTTCACTCTCTACCTTATCTCCACTTAGAATAGTGTTAGTATATATTAGGTTAGATTATATGTCAATTCAAGATTGCAATTCAATTACAACTTCAATTCAATCTTATATATATCTTTCTTCCAAAAGGCTGAATCCCAACCCTAAGGGCAATCTTATATATATCTTCAATGTACATTTGATCAAAACTGAGTTTTTTTTTTTTTTTTTTTTTTTTTTTTTTTTTTTTTTTAAACAAAATCAAAACTGAGTTTTCATTACCTAAATTTCAATTCCTTCAATTACCTAAATTTCAATTCCTTCAATTATTTTTTGTGCTTTCAATATATGCAGTTTCATTGTACTTTTACTTTGCTAGTCAAATCATGAACAACTAGATTTTCTATTAGAATTTGGATTGAGTTTGCTCTTGTTATAGATGTTTCTATGAATTCAATTGCATAAAAGGAGTATGTATTAATTAGCTAGGGTACTTGTTGTGTGCTATTGTTTTATTTGATCTCTTGTGCGATCTACGACCTAGTACACTTTAGAGACTTGGAGGTGTGTTGTTTCTATGAGAATATGACATCACTATTTCAAGCTTTCTGTGAGAAAAGTAGATTGGAAGAAGACATGTATACTATGTGATGAGAAGTATTTTTGAGTGAGTTTTGTGTTAGAGGGTACCCTCACATCGGATATCATTGTCAAGGAATTGGCTATAGTAGTCAAGCTTATGACTCATGAGTGTCTAAGAGGCATTTTATCAAACACTCGTTCTTGACATCCCATAATTCGCCTTTTTCAAAGGTGAAGCATGATTGACCAACCCCTTGAGCCAAGATTAGGTGATCACTTCCTAATTATGGTTTAATCATGTTGATTGGATGACTCTTATTTTGTACCATATTCCTGTTAAGCCAATATGTGGCTAGAATATCTTTAGTTGTTACTTGTTCTATTTGTGCTCCTGTAGACTAGTTATTTGGTTGTAACTTCCTACTATCTACACTCCTCCATGTACTATATATAAGTTATGTTTTACATCAATAAACACTCAGTTAATTCCTTCACATGGTATCAAGAGCCATATTCCCCTAAGGAGTTTATTATTATTTATTTTTTTTTTCTCTTCTCTTTCGCCATTCTTATATCCATGGC